TTCAGCTCAGGTCCTCTGGAAGAGCACTATGTGCTCTGAGCCACTGAGCCAGCCCTTTAGCCCCCTTAATCACTGCAGCTTTGCAGCCAGTTTTGAAATCAGGAGTCTAAGGCTTCCAGATTTGTCCTATTCTTTTCAAGATTGTTTTGGCAATCCTGCTCCCTTGAATTCCCCTGTGAATTTTAGGATCGCTTTATGATAGGCATTCCCCGTCTTAGGTTCCAGCTGGTCTGCGGCAGTAGCAAATGCCTCAGAATTTTAAATTTTATTTCGTTTTCGTCTTTCTTTCTTTCTTTTTTTTTTTTTTTTTTTTGGCAGGATTTCTCAGTGTAGCTTTGGAGTCTGTCCTGGAGCTCGCCCTGTAGACCAGGTTGGCCTCCAAGTCACAGAGATCCATCTGCCTCTGCCTTTGAGTGATGAGATTAAAGGTGTGGGCCACCACCGCCCAACTCAGGATTTCAAATTTTAGAATCATGTATCTGACAAGACCCAAGCCCCCTGTCTATTTTAGCATGTAGCAGAAAATCCAGAACGTTGCTAAATTTGGCAGTAGAAGAAAAGATAGCGTGGCAGACAAAGCAATGCTTTACCCCAAGATGTTGGGACCCTACCAATTCCTTGGAGCCTCTGAATGCTGTGCAGTGGGGCCATGGGTGATGATGGTTACAGATGGGCTTCAGGCTGCTGATCGGATGGCCTTAAAATAGAGAGATCTCTCTGGATTACCCATGGGCCCCGTGTCATCTCAAAGGTCCTTAAAAGGAAAGTGAGGGCAGATCTGAGCGATATAGTATAGTGAGTTCTCTGGCTTTGAAGGTGGAGGGTGGAGGAAACTTCTAGAAGCCAGAGAAAGTGGGAAACAGATCTGCCCCTAGAACCTCTAGAAGGAACCAAGGACTGCTGGCTGCTGACATCTTGATTTTAACCCAGGGATGCCCACTTTGAACTTCTGAAGCACAGAACTATAGATAAATAGTTATTTGAAGCCATTGAATTTGTAATAGCAGTCGCAGAAAATGAGTATGAAGGATTTGGGGACCATGGACAGCCCCTTCTGTGCATTTGGCTGGAAGTGGCATGTAGCATTTGTACTCCCACAGGGTAAAGGGAGATGCTTGGCATCCCACACATCCAGCCTCAGCGAACCAGAATCCTGGTGCCATGGGAGTATCTATTACATCTTTGTTGCCTGCGGCACTTGTTTCTATATTCTAGTCCATTCCATTTCATTAAAAAACAAACACTGAAGATGGGTGTAGTGGCACTCAGGAGACGGAGGCAGGAGGATCTCTGAGTTTGAGGCTAGCCTGGTCTACATAGTAAGTTTCAGGACAGCTAGAGCTACGTTATGAGACCTTGTCTTGAACACAATCAACCCCAAAATATAGTCAGGCATAGGAGCGCACGCCTCTAAACCCAGCACACGGGAGGCAGAGGCAGTAGGATCACTGTGAGTTCGAAGACCTGCCTGTCTGTTTTGTTAGTTCCAGGCCAACCAGGATTACATAGTAAGACCATGCTTCAAAAAAAGATCTCCCTGTGTGTTTAATGTATGTGCTTGTGCACATGTGTGAATGTGGAGGCCAGACGTCAGCCACAGGTGTCTTCTATCAGTCTTAGTTTTTGAAACAGGGTCTCTCACTAAACATGGAGCTTTCTCTGAACCCAGAGCTCTTTATGTAGGCCAGATCGTGTGGCCAGAGACCCCCCCCCCACCTCAGAGACCCCCCCCCCCACCTCAGGATCTGCCTATCTTTGCCTCCCCAGTGCTGGGGTTACAGGTGCACACTGCCATAATCAGCTTTTATGTTGGCACTGGGGATCCGAACTCAGGTCTCATGCTTTTGAGGCAGGAGATTTATCACAGAGCCACCCCTTTGTCCTCTAATATTTTAAATATAGTTCCTAACCAACCCATGAGTTGCAACCTCTGGTTTGGACAATGCTAATCTCCAGCACCTCTTCTGCTCCGGCTTCATGGACCACAGGCTATATCCTGGGCACAGGTGATTGGGCCAGGGGGTGGGATACCTAGCCAAAGCTGACCAATCAGATTCCTCTCCTGGGAATTTGGAATTGGGCCATTCAGTCAGTTAGCAGCGGGAAGCTGAGTGAGAGGCAGGGTGGAAACAGGGTTGGAGTGTGAGTCACATGCGAGCCCAAAGGATGGAGGAGCAGAAAAATCCCTGAGTAAGCGGAGCGCGCTGGTCCACAGAGACAATGGAGCAGCCGCACAGACAGCCTCGCAGCCAGGAGGACCTGCAGCCCCAGAAGGAGCGGTGGAGACAGGGAGATACAGCTTGAGGCTCCGATGGCGTCCCCATTCCCAGCCCCGGCCCCAGCGCATCCTGCCTGCTCATCCTTCCCGTGAGATTTTGGACCTCCTCTTCTTTCTCTTGAGTATCCCTAACCTTCACCAGGAAGGACACTGCTGGCCTTTCTCTTTGGGGAGCCCAGCTGCTGTGACGGAGGTTCAGGTTGTGGAGTACAGGCAGGGCTGGGGGTGGGACCAGATGGAGCTGCTCAGACCTTCAAGGCTGGCTGGGATCATGGGTTTATGTTCAATTGGTGCCCGCCATAGGCAGAGAGGTCTGTGTGGTGTTGCCCATGTGGGGCCCATGGAGCCTCTCCACCCCCCCCCCCTCCGATAGTTAGGGGTAAGAAGTGGGTGGAGTTTTGAGCGGCGGTGCTTAGGTGCTTGCAACGACGCCAGGGACTGGCTGAGCCTCATGGGTGACTGCTTCCAGCCTCAATTTCTGCATCTTTGAAATGGGGTTGTCCGTGATCAGCTTTGTCCTGGGAAAAGTACTTAGAGGCATGAGTGGAGAATAACAAACACCGGCCGAGAGTGAGGCAGCTGGTCTTGTTGTTTGAGGAAGCCGCAAGAGTCCTGACTTCCTGAAGGAGGTGGCCCCGGGTGCTGACTAAGGTGGTGACAGGACATTCCCCACTGATGCCTGTGCTTCCTGCCCCTCATCACCCCCACGCTGCCCCTCACCCCAGTCACCTTTCGTTTATTCCTCTCCCTCCTCCCCTCTGGTCTGTTCTTCCTGCCTTTTTGAAACATGGATTTAGGAAGCAGTGGGTTGGATTGAGGCACCAACCAGTCCCTGGAGGCCCAGTCCAAAACGGGTCTGGGTCCTGAGCTAGTCCCTTGTTTGCTGTGCTCCTGGGTAAGTTAATGCATCCCTTGAAGCCTCCAGTTAATTATCTGTGGAGCAGGAGTTAGCATATCTATTTTACTATGAGAAATGATTAGCTGCTCTGGAGCCTTCCCTTCCCCTTTCCCTCTCCTCTGCTGCTGAATGTTGTTCCTCCTGGCCTTTTCCTTTCCAGCAGTCACTAGAGTAGCTTTCCTTCGCTTGCTTGTTTATGCTGTTGGGGTGTGATCTTTCTTTTCCCTCAGAGTCCTGGCTACCAAGGGCTGTAGGCGAGTGAGGAAGCACAGGGTTTTCACCTGTTCTGTTTCCTGGAGAAACATGGAGCTCCTAGCCCCTAGCTTGGAGTTCCTGGTTAGGATGGAGTGGTCTGCATTTCCCCCCCCCCCTTACTTTAACAATGATCACACCCAGGACAGTTGTGGCGGCTTCACACTTCCAACACTGATAAATATTAATGAGGAGAAGAGGCTCCTAGGGCCCCTAGGGGAGCGCTTGGGGAGATGTTGGGCCAAGTTCTCCTTTGTAAGCAATACTCAGACCTGTCAATATTCCCTGAGCCCCAAAAGGGAGGGTGAGGCAGGGCCAAGGCTGTGGAGACCCCACAGAATCACAAGCCTGGATGCCTGCAGACCAGCTTCTGGGAAGGATTGGGGTACACCCTGCTGAACCTGGGGGAGCTATTTCACTTTTCTGGGTCTGTCTGATCTCTCTCTGCTTCCAGCTTTCTTTCCGTGGTTCTCTTTTCCTCCCACCTCTTTATCTTTTATTTTCATACCTGAATCTCTCCTCTCTTCACACCTCCTTCCCTTTTTTCAATACCCTTCACCCCCAACTCCCTAGCTCTCACTTTTTTTTCTGCCTCGCCTCCATCATGGCTGATAAATTGTGGGCTCCATGACAGTATGTGGGTGAGGGAGACTCAGCCTCCCAGACACAGCTCTGGCAGGGGGAAAGGGTTGCCATGGAAGGCAAGTGGCACTCTTCAAGATCTAGGGACTACATTACCCCCTGACCTCACACCCAGTGCTCTGATGTGTGAGCATATGCATCCCCTCCCCCAACCCCCGCATTCCTGTGCCTCTGTCCTTCAGTGAAGCAATGCCCGTTCTTTTATTTATCTGTTCAACAAGTATTTATTGAGCTCTTGCCACCTGCTATCATTTAACACATTCGTTGGACAATAGTGAGGTGTGTCCCTGTGTGCTTGGGATGCACCTGTAGCTAGGAGAGAGTGTCCACTGTTGCGGAGTGGGCGTGCTAGCAGACAGGCAGGGCGAGAGTAAAGTGTATGGTCAGTCAGGGGGTCACTGGCAAGAAAGGAAGAACGGATCAAGAGAAGGACCGGGGGACTGGATGTCAGGGGTTGATGGCAGGGGTGTTGGGAAAGTGGATATCTGGGAAGAGTGTCCAGGATAAGAGAATAGGGTAAGGGAAACTTCGAGCAAAGACCTTGTGCAGGCATCACCTGGTGGACAAGGAACAGGGGCTGGAGAGCAGTGAAGCTGGAGGCTAAGGGAGAGTAGCAGGAGGTGAGACAGGGAGGGGAAGAGGCGAGGCCAGATCACTGGGACCTTGCAGGAACATGAAGGTTTTCCTGTGTGCAGGTTGGGTAGAGTTGTGTCTTCCTCGGCTCGCTCTGAGGACTGAAGGCGGGCTGCAGGCTGCTGGCACTCACCCTAGGAGAGGCAGAAGGAAGGACGCTGTCCCCCACTGAAGCTTTGCGGGTGCCTGTGGGACACTCAAGGCCTCTTTATCTATGACCCTGCCTCAGGGCCGCCTGCAAGAGATTGGCTGGGCAGAGTCCACTAACCTTGGCTTCGCCTTTCTTTCTCTCCACAGAGTGTTCAAGAAGGCAAGTCCCAATGGCAAGGTGAGTCTGTGGTGTGTGCCGGCTCCTCACTGTCCCCACACTCGGGGAGTCTCTCTGTGGACCAGGAAAGGAAGCAGTGTCTCTAGGGAGAGACAGGCTCCACTCACTGTCTAGGGCTGACCCAGCTCTGTTCTCAGGAGCCCTCAGTTCAAATGGGGTGTGTGTGTGTGGAGCTCCCTAGAATCTTTCTGTGTGGGCTTCAGGGAGCCCCCAGATGGGGAGAGATGGACAGGCCTCTCCTGAAGAGACATCAGAGTGAGTATGAGAGACTGAGATAGCTGGCCATAGTGACGCCATCGAGTCCCTTGGTGTGAGAGGTCACCATGTCTCTAGGGCCTCCCAGGGCCCGGGTTTCTCGCTTGCTTGCTTGCAGAGGCTGCAGGATGTATCCTGTTTTGCTCCCTGCTCAGCAAACAGGCAGTACTGACCTCTATGCCAAGTCTGGGCTGGGTCTGTCGGGGGTCGGCAGAGTGCTGAGATAAAAGAGGCATGGTGCTCACAGTGCAGGAATCGGTCATCTCACACAGAATGCCAAGTAGGATGCTGGGATGCCCAGAGACCGGAAGACCTTGCCTGGGGTGTGTGTGTCAGCCATGGCTTCCTCTGGAGGTGACAGGATTCTAGGCAACGCTAGGGGAGAAGGGAGGACTCTAGGGTGGAGTATAAAATCCAAGGAAGAGTGGGACGTCCCAGGCCAGTGAGTCTCCAAGTGAACAGAAGGAACAGAGCTGAGGATGACACAGGGCACATGACAGGTGTCCTGTAGCCAGGCTTAGCGGCTCACGCACCTGGGTTACCTTGTGCACATCTGTATCTCCATTTGAAGTTCCTAGCAGACATCAATAATCATCTTTTAACCTTTCCTGCTCAGCCAGGCTGCGTTCTATCTTGGATTCCTTGGCAATCCAGGGCCCCAGGCATCCCAGACCAGTCAACTAGATTTGGTACCGAGAATGAAATCCATCTGTCATCCTTACCCTCCAGGCACAGGAAACTGGTTAAAAGGCTTTCAGAAAGGCCCAGCTGTCTGAAACAGCTGCTTGCTCAGATTTGTATTTTAGGTGTGGCTAAGGAGATGCTAACAGCTGGAGGCTGTCAAGTGTCAAAGGGACTGATGTGGTCTCCCTTGAGGAACCTTTGGGATAGAACGGTCAGGACTGCGGGAAGGTTGAGGAGTCAGGGGCATCTAGGATGGTGCTCCCAGTTCAGTGTTGAGTCTGGAGCCCTGTCTGGCTTGGACTCTTCCTTGCTGACTGGGGGTTGGGCAGGGAGCTCGCTCCCTGATTCCTCGGTGCCCCAGAAGAAGAGATGCCCTCGTGTAAGTAGATCCCTGCCTAGTTCAGGGTAGGGAGAGATGAAGAAGCCCAGAGCCAGCGTCAGTATCAGCACTGAGCGCATGGCTTGCCTGCCTGCCCCCAACCGTACCCAAGATGCCCTGCTTTTTTGTTTTGATCTGCTTTTCCTCCAACCCTCAGTGGGGTTTCACTTAAAGACCTCCCTAGGCCTCCGTATGCTTGTCAATAAAATGAGAAGAATAACAAACCTTTCATAGGTGTTTAAATACATTTCCAAGATCTACTATCGTTAATATTTGGTTTGGGGCAAGGGACCACATCTTGCTGTGGTTCCAGTGAGGCTTAGGAATGTATGTAGCTGTCATTGTCTGTGTCATGCTGGCCCACAGCCACTAACATTCTTGTGCCTCTCCTCCCCAGCTCACTGTCTACCTGGGGAAGCGGGACTTTGTGGACCACATTGACCTCGTGGACCCTGTGGGTGAGTGCCGGGCAGAGGGCTGGGGAAGAACCCCACTTCCAGAAGGGTCTGGTACCCAGAATGCATGGGCATGGCTTCCTGATCTAGGAAGCGAACTTCTGGGGAGCTCCTCCCTATTTAAGAGAGAGTCGTCTTTGATGGCTCCAAGGCTGGATGGGGGCCCTGATGAACAGCAGCAACCGCAGCTCATATAAGGCTTGTTGTGCAGCAGCGACATCTCCTACTTTCCAGACGGAGTGAGGTACAGAAGGGGCTCAGCGACTCATTCCGGGTCACAGAGCTAGTGAGGCGAGGGTTTGAATTCCAGCCCCTGGCTCTCTCCTGGGGAAAATCTTCTTAGGACTTTGGAAACAGGGGCTGTCCTCACCTATATGGGGCTCTGCCGGAGAGGCTGAAGCACAGCTGAGATCTGCTCCCAAGGTCTTGGCTGAGTTTGGGTTTCTCACCCTTGGAACTGTTGCCGTCTTGGTTTGTATTATTCTTTGTTGGTGGCATCTGCCTGGTTGGTACACTGCAGGGTATTTGCCTTCATCCCTACCTGTTAGGTACCAAATCTACCCTTACCATCACCACTACAGTTAGGACAATGCTAAATGACCCTGTGGATGTGAATTGCCCAAGCTCAGAACAGCTGCTTCTATAGAAAAACATTGGCCTCAGGCCTCTCTTCATATTGTATGAATCACCCTGGTTTACAAATGGAAGCACTGAGGCCAGAGAGGTTCTCCTTCTCCTCCTCCTCCTCTTCTTCTCTTCTTCTCATTATCATCATCATTATCATCATTTTAAAGATGGCCATGAACGAGTCAGAGTGATAGAAACCTAGGCCAGGGTCAGGTGAAGTGAAGAAACTGGGGTGTGTGACTTGGGAAGGTGTCCCAGAGAAGTCACTATGTTCTTGTGCACTGTCCTGAGCTAAGAGGGACTGTGGTTCCCAAGTCAGAAGGTTTCAGCTCATCGGAGAAGACCCTTGTGACTGTAAGCAAGGGTCTTGGAGGCCTGAGCCCCTGGGGTGTTGGCAGGGCTGTAAGCTTCAGATTCTGGCTTCCTTCCAGGCCCCTTCCTTTATGATCTAAGACAGGACACCCACCTTGCCTTTCCGGGACAGTGTGTAGGTCTTCTGATGATCCTTCCCTGGGATGTTAAATTTATTCTCAGTTGAGTCCCATGATTACAGTCATAGACATGGCACAGAGGTGATGCCCATCACGGATGGAAGAGTATTCATGGCAGGGTGTGACCCTGAAGATGGATTGAGGATGTCCCTGTTTAGATGTCTTGATAACCTTGGACCAAGATATTCACTGTTTCTTCAACTACTCTGAGTGGTCAGTTATAGGGATAGCATGGAAGAGGATAGTGTGGTAATATGTTAAAGCATGTGTGTGCATGTGTTTATATGTATGTGTGTGTGTGTGTTTGTGTATGTGTTTGTGTGTGGTGTGTATATGTGTATGTCTCTGTGTGTGTTTGTGTGTGTATGTGTGTATATGTGTGTGTATGTATATGTCTGTGTATGTGTGTGTGTATCTGGGGATGCCAGACAGTGATGCTCTTTGGAACAGTGCTCCTAGCTTCCTGGGATGCTCAGCTAAGAAACGTCCTCTGTGTCCTGGTAGATGCTCTGCTCCCAAGGACAGACCTTGTGAGCGGTGTCAAGGTACTTCCCATCCTCTCCACTGTGTGAGTCACTTTTATCACGGTGACAGGATGTTCACTTATTTGGGTGATGGCTTTAGAGGTTTCAGACCACAGTCACTCAATGTTGTGGAACTGGAGTGAGGCAGAATGTCATGGCAGGGGTTCTGTGGAAGAATGAAGCTGCTTTCCTCACAATGAGCAGGAAGCGGAGAAGGAAGAAGGGACCGAGAGCCAAGTACACCCTTCACGGCACATTGCTTGACATGCTTCCTCTAACCAGGCCCCGTCTCCTAAAGGTTCCACTGAGCTATGAATTCACCTATGGGTTAGATCCCCCATGATCCGGTCACTTCCCAAAGGCAGGACGCTGTTGCTTTGGAGACCAGCCTTTAAGTCACCAGCCTTTGGAGGACACTTAAGAGCCAAACCATGACAGTCATGCTCACTCATGCCAGGAGCTGTCCAAATACTTCCATATGTGACAGAACCTACCCATGAGCACAGTGACACAGACTACCCATCTGTCCTCACATGAGCGTTGAAAGCTGCTGATCAGGGCCCCAGATTCATAGACAACCCCCCCCCCCCCGTCCCAATATCCAGGAAGCTCTGAAAACCTCACAGTTCCTAAGCCTGATGCAGACTCTGTTTATTACTAAGCCGACCTAACATGACTCAAGGCCATTTACCATAGTTAGGCTCTTGGCGAGATTAGTCATTTAATGATGGCAATTCTGAGAACTGTCCTTATGTGGTTTCGTCACTGTGTGGAGGACAGAGTGTGCTTACACAAACCAAAATCACCATGATGTCCCTAGGCAGCAGACACCTCATACACGCTGTCCTTTGAAACATTGTTCTTTTTTTTTTTTTCGAGACAGGGTTTCTCTGTGGCTTTGGAGCCTGTCCTGGAACTAGCTCTGTAGACCAGGCTGGTCTTGAACTCACAGAGATCCGCCTGCCTCTGCCTCCCGAGTGCTGGGATTAAAGGCGTGCGCCACCATCACCCAGCTTGAAACATTGTTCTACAGTGCATGACCACAGCTGTGTTTTCCCGTAGGGGTATCAGTGGCTCTGATCATGGGTGTGCACCCTGCAGAGGGGCACCCCAGTGGTCCATGTGCTCTATTTATTACCTTTGGGGTTTGGTGTGAGTGGATGTTTGGGGCTCGGGTTGAGAAGGTCAAGTTGGGGGACTCTGTTCATTGTCTCCCCCAGATGGCGTGGTCCTGGTGGATCCTGAATATCTCAAGGAAAGGCGAGGTAAGCTGTGTTCCTCTTCCTCACAGCATGCCAGGGGGCTCTTCATCCTCTGCTCTCTGGTGACCTCCATGGCTTCTCCCTGTCCATCCGATTGGTTCCGTGCTTACATGCACCAGTGCATACTGTAGTAAGAACTCTGGTCTCTGGCACAGAGCAGCCCTGCCTCGTGCCCACCATGGGAGAACTTATGCCCCTAGCCTTGTCCCATCAATGAGGCAGCAAGGCTTGGCACAGGGGAGAGGGCAGAAGAGCAGGAGAGAGACTCTCGTTTAATAGAAGATAAAGGTAAAAAGTTCTGAGTATAAGGTTAGGGTGGTTAGGGTTGGGCTCTGCTGAGAGCCCATGCCTTTTAGACATAGTCTTCTGTATGCGTCCCTTTCAGGGGTATGTCTCCCTGCCCCTCTCCTAAGTCTGCCAGCCTAATGCAGCCACCACAGCCACCAGGCTGTCTGACTATCCTTCTGCCCCTCTGTACTCCTGGGCTGGAACGACCTGGGCAGGGCAGAACTGCCCAGAAAGCAGTGTACCCTCTCCGCTTGAACCTGGGACAGGCTTGTAGCCTCCAGTAGGCCAAACCCCAGGGCTGCAGCTGGAGTTCTGGGGGGGTTGTGTGCTGCCCTCCCAGGCCCCTCCTCAGTGCCCCTGCTCTTCACAGTCTACGTGACGCTGACCTGCGCCTTCCGGTATGGCCGGGAAGACCTGGATGTCTTGGGTTTGACTTTTCGCAAGGACCTGTTTGTGGCCAACGTGCAGTCCTTCCCACCAGCCCCCGAGAACAAGAAGCCACTGACACGGCTGCAGGAGCGGCTCATCAAAAAACTGGGCGAGCATGCCTACCCCTTCACCTTTGAGGTCAGCTCCCAGAAGCAAGTAAAGCAGGCGTCTCCTCTGGGGTGCGCTCAGGGCAAGCCCATGGGGAAGCCAGGAGGGCAGCTGCTTTGTCTCTCCTGACTGGGACCTGGGTACCATCACTTATATTACCTGTGACGTGTCTTATCTCTGGCCACCGTGGACACGTCACACACGCCCACACCTCTAGGCTGCTCTACTGGCCTTCCTGTATTCAAGTTACTAGAGAAAGGGCGACCCAGGGGTGGTTGCAGCGAAGGAAGGAATTCCGCCTGGCCCTGAGTCACCGTGTATCTCCTCTAAGACAGGCTGCCCACACGCGCAGCTGATCCCTTTGCCACATCTCCGTACCATTCCAAGACTCCATGCTTCTGGAGTTCACAGCTTCATGTTTCCCAGACTCCGTGATTCTGGCGCGGGACTATAGGTGAAGAACAAGCAAATTCTTATCTCCCCCAGTCTGCCCGTGACCCCGTGTACAGTATGATGTGTTATGGCTCGACTGGGAGAGAAAGAGTCTATTTCAGGGGCTCCTAGTCTGATGGGAGAGAGACATCTTGTTTCCGGAAGACCTGGTCTGACAGAGGAGAGATGATGTGTCCCAGGGACTTGATCTAATGGGTGTTTAGGAGTGAGGTGTGCAGGGAAAGACAAGGTAGAGGCGAAAGCTTAGCTCATTTTATTTGTCTCCTGAACAGATCCCTCCAAACCTTCCATGCTCAGTGACGTTGCAGCCAGGGCCTGAGGACACAGGAAAGGTAGGTCACTCCAAGAAGACTATCTCTCTGGTTCCAGACTCTCATGTCTCCAGGGTTCTGGTTTTCTCCCCATGGAGTCATAGACATCTGGAACCTCCCTTCCTGTTGAAGCTGCCTGGGTCTGATATCCCTTGGACAGTCAGTCCCTTGAGACAAGGCTGCAGATGCAGGCTGGCCTTGCCCCCACCTCCGGTGATTTGTCCCAGGTCCTTTGAGTCACTTTTGCTGGCTCTGGCGTTGATTGCACAGGGCCAACAGATTCTGAGGACCTCCCTCTGGCTTCACGTGGGTCCTAGCTGCCTCATTTGGCGACGGGATGGCTACCGTTCTACAGCTGGGATGTCTGATATTTGGAGAAAGTGACCCCAGCAGTGCCTCAGGCCCCCAGACTTTAAGAGCTCACACTCCCACCTTCAGAGCAAAGACAGTGACCATGCTCCCCCATATTGTTAGAGAGCAAGGGAGACACCATGACATCCGGCACAGGGTCTTCACATTGCTGATGGCTGTCTTGAGGAGGACATCCGCCTAGACTGAAGCCGGGGTCCCAAATGTGATTGGTGTTGGCTGGTGGGCTCGCAGGAGGAGCAGCTACAGGGGAAGGTCCTGGGTCGGGGGCAGCATTGGGACAAGGTCAACACTGGACCAGGTTTTCAGATCCATATCTAGGACCCTCAAGTGGCAGAAGTTTATGTTCTCAGCCAGCACTCTGGCTTGTAAGGGCGGGGAGAGTGGTTGGGGACCTTGGCTTCTCAATGCCACGGGGTCAGCGCGGCCTCCTTCACAGGCCTGTGGTGTGGACTACGAAGTCAAAGCCTTCTGTGCCGAGAACCTGGAGGAGAAGATCCACAAAAGGTACGCAGGATGCCAGCGGGAGAAGGGTGGAAGGACAGGAGGGGGATCCAGAGAGGAGTGATGAGGAGCGGATTGCCCTGTGGGAAGAGTCTGGAAGGCTGTCAGGTCTCAGTGAGCTTCCTGGAGGAGGTGGCCCGAGGGGCCTGAGCCTGTCCTCGCTCGCATCCCTACCTTTGTATTTCCCTCCAGACTGCAGTGTTTTGATGTTAGAAAGACGCCTCCCCTCACTCTCCCCCACCCCCGCCCACTTTAGTTCTCAGTCTGCCCGCAAGGGAGGGACATTTTTTCGCCTTTTCGGCAGAGAGAGGAAAGCAGCTGGCTCGGATCTCTCAGGGCTGACTTCCCTGGGGTTCAGGACCTTCAGTCTCCTGGCCTTAACCACAATTTTGACACCCCTGCATCCTAAGTCCAGCCCCTAGACCAGCCCCTGAGGGATGTCCACCAGCCTCGTATGGAGGAGTCTGCCATCTGGTGGTGACTAACTGTATTACACTCATTTCAAGCTGCAACTTGGTAGCTCCTGTATGGGATGGGGGTTTATTAGACTCCTCTCTTGCTTCTCTGTCCCAACTTTCCCCTTAAGACCTCAGATGAAGAGGACCTAACAGCATTGTGGAATAGGAGAGGGGTCTTTAGCAGAACAACAAACAGCAGGCAACCTTGAGGGTCGCTACCCTCACCCTCTCCCCATGGGACATCTTAAACTACTCCCTAAGACTCACTGATAAGATAGCTGTCAGTTCTTAAATGCTGAGTTGGTTCTGGCCCTAAGGGGTTACGTGGAGTTGTCTCTGTTGTACAGATGAAGAAACTGAGGCACAGGGAGGTAATTTCCTCAGGCCATGTCGTTCACCAAGACTCTCAGACTCCAGGGAATGGAGGTGGCTTGTTGGAGAAATGGGGGTGCTGGTATTTCTCGTGTGTCACTGAGGGTGTGTGCAACTGACTCCCTGTCCCCTCAACAGTTCAGTTCATTTTTGCTTCTACCCTAAGCCCTGGGACCTCCACTGAACCCTTCTTACCTGTGGGTTTCACCAAATCACCTCTCCACTGTCCCGCACGTCCCTGGCTGAATCTACATCCTGTAATGAAATCCACCACCTCTCATGGGGGCCTGTCCATCCTGGTATTTCCACTTAGCAAGTCTTTAACATAGGCTGCCATGTGGCGGTACAGCCACATGGGTTGAGACTATTGTAGCGGACAAACCAGACAAGAAGTTCCCGTCCTCAGCAGCGTACACTATCAGGAGACAAAGGGGGCAAGAAGCAAAAGAGTCCTTGTCTTACGATTTTGCTGGGTACCAGGACATGGACCCAGATGAAGTGGGGGTGGCCCAGGGACAGAATGGAGGAGGCTGAGCAGAGTCACATGGTGACAAGCCCTCCAGGCTAACCTCTGTGGTTGGCAGGCAATGGGTAGCCACAGGAGCCTGTCGAGAGAGATGTAGGTACAGAGACAAAACCTAGAGACCGGTGACTCTGTCTGTCTTCCTCCCCACTTACCTCCCTTAGGAATTCAGTGCGGCTAGTCATCCGGAAGGTTCAGTACGCCCCAGAGAGGCCTGGCCCTCAGCCCACGGCTGAGACCACCAGGCAGTTCCTTATGTCAGATAAGCCCCTGCACCTTGAGGCATCTCTGGATAAGGAGGTAAGAGGCTCAAACCCGTTGTCTCCAACTCAGATGTCCCTCATATTCCACTACCTTCTGACCTTCCTGAAGAGGATTTGGGGAATCCTGTGGGGGTCCGAAGGACTGACTGAGTTAGGCATGTGCACCTACCAGACAGGAATGATGTACCTTCTGGAAGGGTCCTGGCCATTCCTCCTCACATCCTGATAACTGCCTGCTTCAGGCGGGGTGGAGAAGCCCAGCCCTATCAGCTGGGGTGATGATGGGAGCAGGACCCAAGGATTCCTTGCTATTACCCTCTCATCCATGAGCTAGCTAGAAGGTAGCAAACTCTTAAGAAGTCAGGGGACTCTGAACCAGCTGATGGAGGTGTGGGTGTGACCCTCCTTCTTGGGGGAGCTAAAGGCAAGGGCCTGGACAAGGTGTGGCAGAGGCCCTTATCTGAGAATCCAGAGCAGCTCCTTCAGCGAGTTGGTTAGCCCTTCTTCCCTTCCGCTGAATCTTCCAGAGCTTTCTGTGTCTGCAAACCCAGACCATTAGAACCCACAGGGACTTGAGACATTGCTCTGTCCAACCCCTCATATTGAATAAAGGAGAAATCGAGACTTATTTAGCCTGTCCAAGATTGCATGGTCATCATCACCATCGTTACAATTATTGTTGTCTTAGCAAATGGTTGGAACAGAACTGAAGCCGGGGATGCCAGCTTCCTTTTCTTTGTGGTGTGTGTATATGTGGGTGTGCATGGATGCACGTGTGTGTGTGCATTTATGCACATGTGTGTAGCTGGATGACAACCTTGGGGGTATCATTCTCAGGAACACAGTCTATTTCCTTTTGAGACAGAGTCTGTCATTGGCCTGGAGCTCACCAACTGGATTAGACTGGCTGGCCATTGAGCCTCAGGGATCCTCTTGTCTCTGCCTCCCTAGTGCTGGGATTATAAGCAGGGGCCACTACATCCAGCATTTTACATGGGTCTGGAGGTGGAATTCAGGTCCGTGTGTGTGCAATCCAAGTATCTGGAGGTGGAATTCAGGTCCGTGTGTGTGCAATCCAAGTATCTGGAGGTAGAATTCAGGTCTCTCTGTGTGCAATCCAAGTATCTGGAGGTGGAATTCAGGTCTGTGTGCAATCCAAGTATCTGGAGGTGGAATTCAGGTCCGTGTGTGTGCAATCCAAGTTCTCTACTGACCAAGCCATCCCCCAGTCCTGAAATGTCATCCTCTCATACAGACATCTTTGAAAGCCTCCACAATGGTCCTGAAAGTCAACATGCTTGGTAGTTTGTGTGACACTTTTATTCCAGTGGGAGCAGAGGTTGGAATAACCAGGTGTTGTCCCTACCCATGCCTGCCTGTCTTTTATCTCATAGATCTATTACCACGGAGAACCCATCAGCGTCAATGTCCACGTCACCAACAACACCAACAAGACTGTGAAGAAGATCAAAATCTCGGGTAGCTGGGGGAGTCTCCCAAGGGTGGGAATAGCTGTAGGTGTGCCCTTTGTTAAAAGTCTGTGAAGCACCGTCAGTAGCTTTGGGAACGGGTCTGCTCTCAGCCAGCGGTGGTTCAAAGCTGGTGTTCCAGGCAATGGGGTTATTGCTTTGGCTACTTCTTTTCATAGGCTTTCTGGGCCCTGGCCAAGCTGTCCTAGGAGGAGAGACTTGGCCATGGGAGGGACTGGGCTTTGGTGGGGGCTTCACTTTGGGTGGAGGCTGGGGTGTTGGCCTTTGGTAAACCCTGGCCGTTGTCTTAATCTAAGCACTCCTACCCTAGGGAGCTGCTCCCTGACTCATGTGCCTGATTCAATCCCACCCTTCTCTCTCCAGTACGTCAGTATGCAGACATCTGTCTCTTCAACACAGCTCAGTACAAATGCCCCGTGGCAATGGAGGAGGCTGAGTAAGTGTGTTTGAGGCCAGCTCCGGAGGGGTGAGACTAGATGGGAGAATGGGACACCAAGGCCCAGACATCTCTTCCCAATCTGCAGAGGATGGGGCCTCCACCTTCTTGACACTCACAGTAGAGGGTGTGGAAGGGTCTTGTTGTTGTGGCACACATGGGGAGTCAGAGGACAACTTGTGAGAGTCATCTCTCTCCTGTCATGTATGTCCTAGGTTAGAGCTCAGGTGACATGTGCTTTTACACACTGAGTGACCTCACTGGCCCCTGTTTTAGTTTTTGAGGCCAGTTCTTACTCTGAGACCAGGCTAGCCTGAAACACACTATGTAGCCCAGGCTTGCCTGGAGTGCATGGCAATCTTTCTACTTCAGCTCTCCCAGTACTGATGGTATAGGCGTGAGCAACCACACCTGCCACTCTGACATTGTTTCTAGTATCCTTTAGATGGATATGTTATCATTAAGACAAATGTTCCTGCATTATCAGATATTCTTATATCCATTATTGATTAGGAACAAAGCCCAAAGCCACAAGGCATAGATTTCTGATGAGTGTTGGGGGTACAGTGAAATGACCCAGAGCCCCAATAGCACTCAGTCCCAAGCGGAATGTCACATTCTGTGGCATGCTTGCTTCTGCAGCCTGGAGAAAGGGTAGACACCTGACTTGCAGTCAGCATGCTTTTTTGTAAGGTTGGGGTTGGGGTTGAGACGTGGCTGGCTCCACCCAGAGAGGCAAATCTGGGGCTTACTCCAGGGCTACCCCAATGTCAGTTTCATGTATCTGTCTCGTGGGAGACGGAGGGGAGGGGAGCCGGAACAGCAGCAGGCAAAAATAAACAACTGAAGTACTTGCTTGCAGATAGGCATTACAGCAAGTAAAATTTTAATGGCAGAACCTTGGTGGGGACTTCCAGACATTCAGTAGCTTTGCTCATGGTTTGTATGCTCTGATACAAAGTAAATGAAATGACTCACTAGCTAAGAGCACTTGCTGTTCTTCCGAAGGACTAGGGGTTCATTTTCCAGCATCCACAGCAGGCAGCTCACATCCGCTTATCACAGTCCAGGAGCTGTGACACCCTCTTCTGGTTTCTGAGGGCATTGCATGAACGTTAGTACTCATACACTTAATGGAAGCACACACACATACATATAAAGAAAAGGTTAATTATTGAGAAAATAATAAAGATAAATGGCCATTTAAACGTGCACCCTGGCCACTCCTAACCTAGGGATAGCCCTGCTCGTGTGTGGTGTGTCTGTGCCTCTTTTGGTCACCAGAGCCAGGCCTGGCCCGAGCGACCCACTGCATCTGGGATACAGAGGTTTGCTGACGGAAGGAGTTTTGGAATAGGACCGGGTCAGACATCTTGCCTGGGTTTTCTGGCTGTGATCTTCATGTCGCCTCTCTACTTCCCAGTGACACCGTGGCTCCCAGTTCGACATTCTGCAAGGTCTACACACTGACTCCCTTTCTGGCCAACAACCGAGAGAAGCGGGGCCTGGCCCTGGATGGGAAACTCAAGCACGAAGACACAAATTTGGCTTCCAGCACTCTGTGAGAACCAACCCCTCTAAGTCCCGTGCTCCCAGTGCCCTCGCTGCAATGGGCCCCACCCTCTTAGCCCACCACTGTGAGGATGAGGTTCAGGCTCTTTCCCCAGTCGGTCCTGACTGGGACCAGTCCCCAGAGTGTGACGAGCCAAGGAGGCTGTCTCCCTGCTCTCACCAGTCAAAGACTACTCAGCCCTAACATTTGGCTCTGGGGGGACAAAACAGAAAAACTTCCTGCAAGGATTGGCAGCTCTTAGCCTAGAGTCCTGAACCCAAATTGGGGGTGTCCCTGATGCTGCTGTCAAGGCTGGTGGGGAGAGAATGGCTTCTAGAAGGGTCCTGGAAGGAGATAAATGGGGGCTTGGAGAGACTGAGGAAGAGGTGGTGAGCTGGGGAGATAGATTTGGGGGCCCTTCCACGTGAGGTACTGTAAGGTCATCTGGTTATTCCTGTTCCACGGGTATCGCTGGGCCTTCAGGGTTGTCCCACTCTAGAAGAGTCCAGACAGTAGGACATGCTTATGCCCTCTGCTGATATCCGGCTCTCTGCCTGTTGCATCTGAGACCACCATTTCCAGCTCAAGACTCTTGGCTCAGGCTAGACCATCATATTGTTAATTGCTCCTCAAGGCTCCCCTTTTCCCACAAGTTCTTTGTCCCTTTTCTACCCTGACTCATATTTGTCCTGCCCTCGACTTCCCTGATGAGGCATCACCTCCTGAACACATCCTTCCCGTGCTATCACAACTCCCAGCTCTCAGTGTGGCCCTTTGTGCTTATGGGCCACCTAGTGTAGATGCACAGGAGAGAAGTTAATGACAGGAGACCAGTTAGAGCCTGCTCTCGCTGCACTGTGTGGCGCTAGCAAGGCAGGGAGGAGGGTGCACTGGGGCCACAGAGCAAGGATATCTCAGCCCAATGTGGACCTGAAAAGTCTAGGGCCATAGCTCGGTGGTAGGGTTCTTGCCCATCATACCCAAAGCTCTGAATTTAATCTCTAGTACCGCAGAGAGTGACCTATGCAGAACCCAAGGCTACAAGTTCCGGTCCACTGGGCACAGCTCTCTTGGATCCAGTGGCTCAGGAGAGGGAAGGACAGGGATGCCTTCCATTGCCTGCCACAGTGAACCAGATCCCATCTGCCAAGGAACTACGGACCAGCTTCCCTGTCTTCCCTGCAGGCTGAGGGAAGGTGCCAACCGTGAGATCCTGGGCATCATTGTTTCCTACAAAGTGAAAGTGAAGCTGGTGGTGTCTCGGGGCGGGTGAGTCCAGTTGCCCCTGCACCCCACCCTGTCTTGCCTGACCCTTCTACTGCATCTTCCTGTAGAGGAGGCAGAACTTGAGGACTTCCTTTTCCTTCTCCACTGGCTGAGGCTCCTCCCCATCTCCATCTCTCTCCTTCTCCCCTTCTCTTTAGCCTAGCCTGGGTCTGAGTCTGAGGATTGGGCATGGCCTGTGTGAGCCAAGGTGTCCTCAGACTGGGTACTGTGATTCTCGGGGGCTACCAAGCCCTTCCTCACATCTCAGGTACAGGACCCTCACTCCACTCTTGGAGACAGAGAAACCCAGACCTGAATTGGAGGATTGCTAACTTGACTGACTTTCCCATTTTGTAGGTGGGGAAAATGAGGCCTAAATAATTGTCCCAAAGAACTAAGTAACATTTATTAAGGTGTTGCCTTAATGTATACCCCTGAAGTTGTACCACTTGGGGCAGGGGATGGGGGGGGGGAGAAGCAAGAGATCAGGAGTTCAAGGTCAGCCTGGACTGCATCACACCCTTTCTCAATAGAACAGAGAATGTTGTCTGTGTGGCTGGCAGTGTTAATACTGAATGCATATTACAGTACATTCCTAAACATAGTGGCCAGCCGTATGTTCTGTGACCCTGCAGAACCCACAGTCTTCCCACATCCTAGTGACCCCAAAGTCTTCCTTCTGCCATTAGGTAGCCTGGGAGTGGGAGATTAGTCCTTACAGATGTAAGGGGTCTAGGGGCTCTGCAAGCCAGCCCGCCCCTCCGTGCCCTAGATGAGCTGTTAGCACACAGGGGTGGGGAGCGTGTCCCCTGGGTCTTCTGTGGCAGGGTGGCAGAGTGAACCAATGTCCTTTTTCTTTTCTCCCCCCACCCCCTGCACTCTGTCCCGACCGCTTCCTCTGCCTCCTCTGGCCCACTCAGCCTGTTGGGAGATCTTGCATCCAGGTAAAGTCCCTCTTGTGCCTTGCCTTGTCCACCTCCCTGCAGGTCCCAGGGTCACAGACCCAGCTGATAAGAACCACAGGGTGCTGGGAGGGAAGAATCCAAGGGTTATCTCAGCTTGCAGGCTGGGGAGGCGTTGCAACCAGAAGTGACCTGGAGCAGTGAGATGTGGCTCCGAGCAGAACACCTCAGCCAGCTTTTCTTCCCGCTCAAGTGACAGGACCTTTGTAGACAGCAGTGATCCAGGCAGTGGCCCTAGAAGGGCCAACTGAATTACTGACCTGGGTTCTAGGATGCTTCAGAGATACGCAGTCTTACTGGCTTTCAAACATCTACTAAGAATTCATGGCTAACTGTAGTCAATTGTCCCTGCAGCAGCCAGACAGTAACTTAGGAGTGTGTGTGCCCCAGACATGATAACACAAACTCCTAATGTCACATGATGATGATGTCACTCATCCTACGAAATCTGGGTGATTTAAAAAAGATTTTGTTATTAATTATATATACAGTATTCTTCCTGCATGTATCCCTGCAGGCCAGAAGAGGGCACCAGATCTCATCATAGATGGTTGCTGGGAATTGAACTCAGGACCTCTGGTAGAGCAGGCAGTGCTCTTAACCTCTCAGCCATCTTTCCAGCCCACCGAGTGATTTTTTTTAAATGTCATATACATTCATAGTTTATTAGTCAACATTTTTAAAGATGTATTTATTATATATAGTGTTATGTCTACATATACACCCACTTACCAGAAGAGGGCACCAGACCTCATTACAGATGGTTGTGAGTCACCATGTGGTTGCTGGGAATTGAACTTAGGACCGCTGGAAGAGCAGCCAGAAGCCAGTGCTCTTCACCTCTGAGCCATCTCTCCAGCCCCCAAGTGATTTTCTTGTTTAGTGTCATTTGACAAAACGTGTCTGAGTCCAGACTTGTGGCCAGGCTTGTGCAGGGTACTGGGATATCAGAAGGGTGAGTGCCCTTACTACTCACAGCCTGGCAAAGCCGGTGCCCGGGTCCTGCCGGCCACATCCTGTATGGCTTCACGGAAGACTGATTGACTCTGGCTTCTACCAGCTCCCTTCACCACACCCAGTCACGTCCCCCCTCCCAGCTGGCCAGGATCAGTAAGATGTGGCTGTGTTTTCTGAAGCCATTCATAAGTTAAGGAGGACTCTCTAGGATGAGGCCACCCTTAGCAGAGAGGGGTCTCCAGGGCTACTCTTTATTGCTCTCCCAATTCTGTTTATCGTCCAGGGGTTAAGGGGGTGAACAATGGAGCCAGAATCTTTCTTCTCTTATGCTTAGTAGCTGTGCAGCCTGAGGCAAAAGTTTTCTTTTTTTTCCCCACCCCAAGACAGGGTTTCTCTGTAGCTTTGGAGCCTTTCCTGGAACTAACTCTTATAGACCAGGCGGGCCTCGAACTCACAGAGATCCACCTGCCTCTGCCTCCCGAGTGCTGGGATTAACGGTGTGCACCACCACCCAGCACGAGGCAAAACTTAATCTACACATACTTTAGCTTCCAGGTCCTTGCCTATGCCGTCATAATACTAGGGTCTTTGTGAGTACAGGAGTTGGACTCTAAGGAGGGGCTTGGAACAGTGCTGGGTACAGTTTGTACCATGCAGGTGCCTGCTCTTATCCTCAACCTGTCTGTGAGGGATGAGGTCAGGGAAGTCCTGGTCATTGACAAGTGGTGGCCATGCTTCCTCTCACACGCACAATCTGAGGGGCCAGAATCTGCGCACAGAGCAGCTGCTCTGAGCCTGAATCCCTGAAGTTTGTAGGTGGCCGGGTCTTGGGGTCACCTGAGCATCTTAATGGGAGCATTGGGAGATAGGATGGGCAGGATTGGGAGAAAACTGGGACGGGTAATGTTAGGAAGTCATGGTGATGAGGTGGGCAGAGCCCCAGGCCACCTTGGTTACCCACTGACCACAGTGTGAGTCCCTAGAGGGTGTGGCTCTCCCAGCCGTGGTAACCAAACAATCCTTAGGAGCAAGGGGAATTTCCGTTTCTTTCCTTTTTGTTTTATTTTTGGTGGTGGTGGAGGAGGAGGAGCTTCTATCTCTTCGTGAAGACAGGAGGAAAGGTGGTGGTCAGGGTAGCAAGAGTGGAGCCGCTTTCCCATGAGCCTCCCCAGGCCTTGGACCAACAGAGCAGCAGGTTTTTAGAAGCCTGAGGCTCCCTCTGAGCTCACTGAGTTGGGATTGTGTTTCAGTGATGTAGCCGTGGAGCTGCCTTTTACCTTAATGCACCCCAAGCCTAAAGAGGAGCCCCCACATCGGGAAGGTGAGTGAGCCCCAGAGATCACTGGGGTGGGACTTATCAGTTTCCCTGTTATCCCAGGACCCCACTTCTTTCTGTGTTAGCCCTCAGCCCAGGATCACCCTTTCCCCATCTCCCAGACTCTTTCAGGGCCCACAAAACATTTGGTTTTGACCCAGCTAGGAGACCGAGAACCCTGACTCTTGTCCTCCAGGGGAGAAGGAGGCTAGGAGTGGAGGACAGGATATATGGGTGGATTTTCATTTAAAAGCATTTTATGTGTAAGGGTGTTTCACCTGCACGTATGCCTGTGTACTACACGTGTATGTGCTCTCAGAAGAGGGCTTCAGATCCCCTGGGACTGGAACTGTAGATGGTTTTGTTAGATACCCCATGAGTGCTGGGAATTGAACCCACGACCAGAAGACCCAGTGTTGTTCTTTGACTGCCAAGGCATTTCCCAGTCCCTCCTATATCGCCTGAAGTTTTAAATTGGTAACATATTGGCCACACGACATTGAAAGGGGTGTTAAAGCTCACAACACAAATGAAGTCTGTGCCTACAGATGGACTGAAATGCCGCGGATGGCATTCTGAATGCAGAGAGGTAACAAGATGGAAAAATAGCCAAACATGATAGCACCTGCCCACAATCCCAGCCAAGGGAGGTGCGTGAGGCAGGAGGACCACAAATTTGAGGTCAGCCAGGGCTGCAACAATGGTCTTCTTAGAGTGAGTGGAACTCAGGCAAGCAAGAAACTACTGTGTTTCATGCTGGAGACCTGTCTCCTGCAGGGTCTTCAGTGGGCATGGAAGCCTCCCTCCCTGCATCTGCTGCTTTGGAGAAGACTCAGGTGTTCTAAGACCTGGGATGCTTCCCACTTACCTTCCCCATCATCTCAGCTAGAAGAGTCCCAGGATGGGGAGGAGGTTCCTTGTCCCATCCCTCACCGGTCATCCCGCACCCCACTGACCCCTGGGTGCCTCACACGCCTTGTGTATGTTCAGTTCCAGAGAGCGAGACTCCAGTAGACACCAATCTCATAGAGCTTGACACCAAGTAAGTGGAACCTCCCTGCCTGTGATGTCTCTGGGTGGGGCTGGAGGTGGGAGGGGAGAGGTGGAGGGGTCATTTGCATAAATGCTTATTAACCTCAGAGAAGCAGCCAGTCTAACCTGTCTGCTGAGTGACACCTCTGATCGCCTCTTCAGCACCCTGCTTGCCTGCATGTGACTTTGAAGGACCCTTCGTGCCTGTTCCTCTTCCTCCCGCATTGGTGGGGTCTGTCTTCTTCTCTCGTCAGTCCGTCCATCCGCAGCGCTCACTCAGCTGGCTGGCATGGGGCTGGTTCAGACCCTGGGTTCCCCTCTCTCACCTGACCCATGCCTGCTGGAGGCTGCCTGTAAGGGTGGAGGAGAGAGTGTCTGGGTGTTGTCACCTCTGCCACCTGAGAACCACCTGATTCGGATTCCCCTGCGGTGGAAGGCCATGGGGCACCAGACAATGGCCAGAGGAAGAGGACCTGGTTCAATGGCTTGAATCACCTCTGGGGCCAGGCTTGTTGTCTCCCTCCAGCTCCCCAAGCCTCCTTTCCTTGACCCTTTGGAGAGATCTGGGAAACGGGGGTTTCAAGTTGCCCTATAAGGGAGCCCATTAGTTGGCTGAACTCTGTGTGGCAAGGGGCTCTTGTGTCTGACTGGGCCTAAGTGATATGATGAGAGGAAACGGTTCCTAGTCCTGCAAACCTAACCAGATCTTTCCCCTTTCCTCTGCCCCCTGCTCAAAAATCCCTCCCCTACTTCGGGTCCTTGGGGTTAGCATGTGAGCTAGTACTTCTAGGAAGGGCCTGCTTTTCTTCCTTAGAGTCCAGAACCAACTTCCTGGTTGAAAGAGGCATGCTCCCTAAAGCAGTCTTGTTGGTTTGATTTTAAGGAGGTGAAGTGGGATTTCTTAGACCTGTTCTTTGGGGGTTCCAATGTAGAGCCACACTGCTACCCCTACTCACCTCAGGAAGGGGGTCACTTTTCTAACCCTTCTATGTGGAGAGGCAAGCTTCTTAGAGTTTATGTGTGACAATCCCCACAGTTACCAACTGGTTTATAAATAGGCCAGGCTGGTGTGCCTTTCTGTCCGAGGTCATCCCAGAGACCCCGGAGAGTGTAGTTCTCTCTTGAGCCCCTCTCCCCACATCTGATCAGGCCTCTGGATGGGTCTGATGTCTGCCCCTGCAAACACACGGCATCTTCCTTGTCTCTTCCACCAGTGATGACGACATTGTATTTGAGGACTTTGCCCGCCAGAGGCTGAAAGGCATGAAGGACGACAAGGACGAAGAGGAGGACGGCACTGGCTCTCCACACCTCAACAACAGATAGACTGGGGCCAGCCCTCGTCCTGGCAGCTCCAGGTCAACATCTGCACTCGGATGCTTTCTCCTCCCCGTTCTGGTTCCCCCTTCCCTTTTGTTCTTCCAGTTTCTACCAAGGGTCTTTCTACCCAGTGGTCTTCCGAGTCTCGGTGATGAGCCTCTGGCCTCAGAACTGGCCTCCCGTCACCATGCCAGCAGGACCACAGCACATCCTCCTCAGCCATCTCTCTGCGATCACCTGTCCACCGTCTTTTCATGCTCCTTCCCAGAAAGGCTACACCATCTGGCCTTGGGATTTGGCTTGAGTTGGGGAGCAGAAAAGGGAGGGTGTGTGGCCAGGAGGCCAAAGCGATGGTGGGTATGAAGACGTGGAGACGTTGGGCAAGATGGATCAAAACACACAGGAAGATGTCTGCCGTCCCAGGAGGTGATGGTTTGGCAGCTAAAAGATGAGGGTATTGCAGGCTGGAGAGGACAAGACTGTGAATGGATTCTCAATGCTTTTTTTTGTGGTCTAGGCCCACCAGAGACTCCTTCCCCTCCATCCTCATCCTTGGTCCATGTCCCTGTGTTTCTTGAGGGAGGCACACAGACTCCAGACATGAAGAGCAACGGACTGACTTTCTAGCCAGCGGACACCTAGATTGAGGCAGGCTACAGATGCACCCACACATCTGTCACAGTACAGATAGGATCAGTCACCTTACCTTTGTTGCACTGTGTGTGGGGGCACGGAGCAGGGACGCGGGTCTCTAACAAACACCAGCCCCTAGCAGTGAGCAGAAGCCACCGAGAAGGTTGTCTGAAGGAGTTAAGAGATGGGGCAGGGCAGGGGATGAGCATACATCCTCCTTTCCCGTGGTGGCTAGTCCTGCAGGAGGCAAGGATGGAGGGCCACAGGCAGCTGAAACCACCTGTATCTTCCAGCTCCCTCCAGGGGTTTTACAGTGACTTGGCCCTATAAACTGGGGGGGCGGTGTGCCTGAGACCACCATTTCTAATGCTAAGGGAGCCTGTCCCAGAAGGTGGCACCCCTAGAGATGCACTCCCCTGTAAGAGAGTGCCTCCTCTCCTGGAGGAATTGACCCCATTAGTACCTACCAGGGTTGTGGGTACCCAGTGTCCATCACTGGTGTTAGTGTGCTTGATGGGGGTGTCTCCCAGGGTAACAGGGCAGACAGGTGGTAAACCAGTATTCAAAGGTATACTTGTTTGGTCTTTGATGCTAACTTGTTGTGTGACCTCGGGCCAGTTCCCTCCCCCTCTTTGAGCCTCAGTTTCTTGTTGGAAAGCCCGTAGGCGGACCAGATGATCCCCAGAGTTTCCAGTGCTAGTTTCTGTAAATTTGTGGCTCTCTGAGCTTCTAGTCTACCGGGTGCGGCTGAGGCTGCCAACTGCCCCATCTGCCTTTAGAGGAGATTCATGGAACCTCAGGGGACTCAGGGCTGGGCAGAGCCTCTGTGGATTTCTCTGTCCCAGAGTTTGTATTTGCTGAGGCTTGCACGAGAAGTCTGTGGACAACCTTGGGTTTATCAAATATAATGATTAGCAGGCAAGAGGATCTCATCTCAATTTCTGCTCTCTTTTCTCAGTTCTGTACTTGCCTGAGAAGGGAGACCATGACTTTTGTTTTTGAGGCAGAGTATCATGTAGCCCAGGCTAGCCAAGCACCTACTATGTAGCTGAGAATGATCTTGAATTCTTGATCCTCTTTTCTCAAGTGCTAGGATTACAGGCATGCCCCACACTTTTTTTACAGATCGGATCCCAACCGTTTTCAGTCCACTGTGCCCAGTAACTGTAATAATTTCTCATGGTGAAATGATCCAGGCTCACTGGCCCTGCACCTTTTATGTCTCATAAACGGTCAACTCAAGGCCCCTCTTTGCAGATTAGAAGAGCCAGTTTGGGGCAGTCGTAGTCCCTGACCAGCCCTGGAATCATAACTGCAGACTCTCCTGGCATCCAGGCCCTGCCAGAGCTAGCTGGGTACTTTTGCACCTATAGAGTTGATAAAAATCTTGAAGAATTTAAAGCGAGCATGTACCCTCCACTAGCTTCCACTAAAACCTTTGGAGCTGATACAAGGCCATTTAGCATTTGAGCTAACCCCTCCCTGTCAAACCTCCCTCCCATCCTTAGCTTGTACAGCCCAGGGTCTCTCAGGCGGATCTCTTGAACTTCCTGCACACCTCAGCATCCCACTTACCCTTCAGTTTACCCCACAGATCAACTGAAATTCCTCCAGCCGCAGGGAAGTCTCAGAGCTCTCTCTCTCTCTGTTTTGAGCCAGGACTGCCTAAGGTGGATTCCAGCCCAACCATCCTTTGTTGACAGCTCTGTTCCTTTATGCTGGGTGCTGTGGACACTGGGGTGGATTTCCCCCTAGAATCCCTGTCTGTAGAAAGCTGCTGGCCGGGGGAAAGTGAGAGGCAGTACTGACGGCACTGGCTACAGCTAATCCACACAGTGCTCCGATGTGAGTTTGGACACAGTGGACCTTCCAGGTGGAAATTACACCATGGGAGTCTGGAATTAGGTGTCACTTGCCTCTACTTCATTCACAGTAGTGTGCTGTCATCCCGGGTGAGGTACTCGGGCTAGCGTGTCTCTTTGGCCTCTTCAGTAAGAGGCTTAGATCCCTTACTGCAGACACCATGCCTAACCCCCATCTCATGACATGGCCCAGTATTCCTTCTCTGTCCTGGAGTGTTCCTGGTCAGGAAGTACTTGGGAGTGAAACTGGAGGTGAAGGAGCCTCCTGAGGTTCCAGGCATTCTCGGGTGGTGTTGGCTGTGCTGAGGGACTGGGCTTGTGCCACCAAACAGCTCACACTGGGACTTTCCAGTAGACCAGAGGGCATATGTTGATGCCAGTCTGGGCAGGAAGAGCATGCTTTGGGAAAAGCTTGTCAATAGAGGGTAACCGGACTTGCCCAGTATCCCAGCCAAGAGAAGAGTTCAGTTCCAGAAAGATAAGGATGGAGTTGCTTGGCTGGGTCCTGTGGCCATTTCAGCTTTGAAGCCCAGATGGTCCCCACTGGAGTGTGGGCTCACAACCTGATTCCCACCTGGTGCAGTGAAAGGGAGGTACCATGTCCTGAAAGTCCCCAAGGCCACCTCTCAGTCCCTACTAACTGGAACAATAGTCTTTGTCTGCTTTGTTTGTGGGATTCCTATGAGGCAGAGAGGAGAGCCAGGAGCCAGCACTCTGTAGGCTGCAACCTGCCACACAGAGGTGGCCCTGTCACTGCAGGGATGAGGCTCGAGGTCACACAGGAAACTTGCCGTAGAATGAGCCCTCTGTTTGCCAGTCTCTGTCTTTTGTCCTGATTCTCCTGGTTAGATATCAGCCACAATGACAATTAGCTGTGGTGGCCTAGGCGACCACACTGGGGAGAAGCGTAGGTGCTATTTGTCCAAGGATGGGCCCCAGCAACCGGGACACAGAAGACATGGGCATTTTCAGTGATAGGGGGACAGGGAAAACATCCTGGACTGTCCTGGGCCGGGATTCACCCACCTCCTAGAGCCCGCAGAAGCCAAGAAACCTGGACTCTGACCATAGATCAGGTTGCTGAACGCAGCTTTGTGCCACCGAGAAATCCAAGGGTGAGAGGAAATAGATGTTGCCTCTTCTAGGATTCTGTCCAGGACCTACAGAACCTGCACAGCTCCTTGGAGACCTTTGGGAATGTCCAGTCCTCTTGCTCTGAGAGCTGAGCCCTGGCTGATCCATTCACAGCGGCTGCCGCACCCCAGAGTCAGCTCTCCCCCACCAATGGCTAATGCCCGTGTGCGTGGCTTCCATCCACCAGAGAGGGGTTAGGCTCCAACCCTGAACTCCCAGGACCCAGGCAGGTGCCTGTTCTGATAGTTACTCTTTTTAAAGTTAAGGACCAAATGAGACTCCTCTGATTTTTATCTAAACACTCAGCCTGTCTTGGGCCTGATCCGGGCAGCTCTCTAACTCCTGTCCTCCCCTCCTGAAGCAGCCTACTGGTGGGGACAGATCCACACCTCTGCCACCCCCATGCACACTGGCTTCACAGGGAGGCCCGTGGGAGGGGAAGCACCCCCTCCCTCAACATTACCAACCTGTCATCCCCCAAAAGGGAAATCACAGTCAAAGCACAGGTCCCTGGGACCCACCGTCTGCCCCAGGTACCATGGAGGTGTTCCATCCACACAGCCTCGCTGGGGTTGCTGCCAGGGGAAGTTGGGGAAGGGGCGAAAGGCCAGGTCTCCAGCCTTTTTCCTCATTCCTGCTTCCTCCAGGATAACTCTGCACTTGACTCTCTCGTCTTTCGAGGTTTCACTTTTAAACTCTGCTTTGAAGAAAAGCTTAGGTTTGACCTTAGACCAGCAAGCACAGGCTCTCCTCTGGCTCTCTGTGTGTTGGGGTGACTCCCACGTGCTGACGCAAAGATACTTTGTGTTGGAACTCAGGTCACCAGGTCCTAGCACTTGAACACACATGGGCTTGTTTTCTAACTGAGCCACCCCAGAGCTTGGGGATGAGTTGGAACCTTATGCTCAGTGAAGGGAGGGCTTGGCCGTGATATTGACATGTGCTGCGTGGTGGAGTCCCCCTGGGGACTCATTCTCAGGCAAGGCCCCGTGGCTCAACAGGAAGAGCAGGGCCATGGGAGGAGAAGCTAGGGCTGGCCTCTACACACAGCCAAGGGGTGGGAATCCAGGCTCACAGAAGAGATATACCAGGAGCCGGGTGGTGGTGGCGCACGCCTTTAATCCCAGCACTCAGGAGGCAGAGGCAGGCGGATGTCTGGGAGTTCGAGGCCAGCCTGGTCTACAAGAGCTAGTTTTGGGACTGGCACCAAAGCTACAGAGAAACCCTGTCTCGACCCCCCCCCCCCCAAAAAAAAAGAGATATACGGGGGGGGGGGGGGTGTTTGTGAGGCCGGATTCTCCAGAGACATTTTAGGTATGTCTTCCTTGAGTGCATCTCCTAGGATCCCACTTCCACACCCGTGAATGCCCATGTGCACAACAGGAGGCTTTTGTGCCCCAGAGGCTGATTCCCCCCTGTAGTCAGCTTCCGTGCTGATCTGCATGCTCACGGGAATTCACCTGTACCACAGCTCACTGCTGAAACTTGGGCTAGCGTTTGGCACAGTCCTGCCTGGACTTCCTGGCATCCTAGGTGAGGATATGAAGCTCAGGGCACTGCTAACCACATAGCATGAGAGAAAGATGTTTATGTTCAGTCCAAGCGTGACTTAGGAGACCCCCACTGACCTCAGGTTCCCTACGTGTAAAGGGCTAGCACCAGGCTCTGCCCACCTCACAGGGACGACCGGAAGGGATCTAAGTGGGCAGCCTGTGTGAGGGAATAGGGTCTTGCCTGGGCTGCTGACCTACAGAGCCCACAGCAGAATGAAAATAGGGGATAATCTGTCTTCCCTGGGCATCTCCACTCGGTGTTAGGTCCAGACGTAACTGCTGCCGGGCTGCCTCTTCTGGGGTGGGAGCTGATGTGTGTCCTGGGTGTGGTGGGGAGGGGTGGCTGGGGCAGCCTCGGGTCTGTGACCCTCTGTGACGTGATGGTTTTTGGCACATTCATTCCTGGACCACATCCAGGTCAACCTGTTGTTCCTGTGGCTGCCCTTGTTCTGTGAAGTCATTATAGTTTATTCAGCTCCAACAGGACAGATGAGCAAAAGAACCTTGAACGAGAGGCCATTAAAGGCCTTTTGTGACAGACGACATTGGCTGTGTTTTTATTTCTTGTCTCTCAAGCCCCAACAGGACAGGGACCGCAGGAAAGGGGCCGAGACATGCCCGCCTGCCCGGGACTGCCCTGGTTTTGTGCCTCCTCTGGGCTCTCCTGAAGATTCCCGAGGGATTTCCCCATTTCTGTTTTTCTAATGTCTAGCCTCGTGGCCTCAGGGGGAAGCTGCCAAGATTTGGGTCTCTCTCAGAATTGCCTGGATTCCATGAGCCCTGGTTGACTTCTGAGTTGAAGACCCTGTCTCTCGTCTGTTACTGTCTCCTCAGTTACAGTCCTCAGCCCAGTCCTGGTTCTGGCTCTGCCCGTTCTCCATAGCCTGCTCTGCCAGGTCTTTCTGAAGTCACTTCAGTTCCCCAAGCTTTGCCTCCCCTGGGCTATGGGATACAGGGGAAGAGTAAGGACCTAGATGGAGAGGACCAGCCAACATTTTAATAGACAGTCTTATTTTCAATTAAAGAGAAGGCATGGTGGGCGGTGGTGGCAGAGGCAGACAGATCTCTGTGAGTTCAAGGCCAGTCTGGTCTATAAGAGCTAGACAGGCTCCAAAGCTACAGAGAAACCTTGTCTTGAAAAACAAAAATAACAACCTAAAAACAGGAAGGAAGGAAGGAAGGAAGGAAAGAAGAAAGAAAAGGTATGCTGGACAAGGTAGTGCACACCTTTAATCCAAGCTCTCGGGAGGCAGAGGCAGGCAGATCTCTGAATTTTAGGTCAACCTGATCTACATAGTGAGTTCTGGGTCCATCTAGCTACATAGGGAGACCCTGTCTCAAAAAAAAAAAATAAGGGAAAGAAAGAAAAAAAAGACCCATGAATATGATAATTAAAAAAATTGATTATGTGATGAAAATTTATTTTTCATATTCCTATAAAAATTGTGTCAACTTATGTCAAAGCCTTGTCCTCCTGTGTAGCCATATGTGAGGGTCATTCCTTTTGTTCTCTTACAGACAAAGCAGGACAGGAGGGATACTTGGGCATTTATCTTTTTTTGTTGATGCTTAGATGTATGTATTTTTTGTGTGGGAGCATTTTGCCTGCATGTGTGTATGTACCGTGTGCATACCCAGTGCCCAAGGAAGTCAGAGGAGGGCCATGCCCCCGAGAGAGAGAGAGAGAGAGAGAGAGAGAGAGAGAGAGAGAGAGAGAGAGAGAAGAGAACACGTGCAGATCAGAAGACAACCTTGTGGAGTTGGTTTTCTCCATCTACTTTTTTTTAAAAAAAGTTTTTCGAGACCTGGTTTCTCTGTAGCTTTGGAGCCTGTCCTGGAACTAGCTCTTGTAGACCAGGCTGGCCTCGAACTCACAGAGATCCACCTGCCTCTGTCTCCCGAGTGCTGGGATTAAAGGCGTGCACCACCACTGCCCGGTTCTGCATCTACTTTTATATGAGCATGGGTGCTCAAACTCAGGCCACCAGGCTTGAGCTACAAGTGCATCTCCACACTGAGCCATCTCACCAGCCATTGGTTGCTTCTAAAGACAGCCTTGGAAAAATCAACATTCCGCAGATGATAACAGGTCCCATAGTCTACACAATATAACATTCACACTATCCAGAACATGATCTAAAATTATTGTAAACACACACATGCACATACTGTGACCAGAACTTAAGATAAAATTTACAAAAGGCTGCCGCACACCGAGGCCCCGGTCTGTGCTCTATGCGCTAGACCCCATTTTGCGCGCTTCGGGCAAGGGGCTGGAGGTTGAGAAAACACAGACGCAGAGACAGACTGACACAGGGACCTTTAAACACTGATACCAAAGCCCCTCTTTCTTAACACCATGTAGGCTTAAATCAATGGCCAGCAGGTGAAAATCCCATCCTCTGATCCTCTAACTAGGCACAGCTTCTAGTAACTTCACTTAGAAGGTTCTAGGAGGGAAGAGCAGCTGAAGGCCAGGACTCATTAGTCCCAACAAAAGGCACCAACTCTAAGAAGACTTTCATTCTAAGATTATTATCAGAGGTGGTAGTTTATAATTTAAATGGCTAGAAAGACATCTATTTGTTCAAAGCAGAGACACAGAAACTATAGGGAAAATAACAAACAGATTTTAGGGTTAAAAAGTAACTGAAATAAAATACACACTGGCTAGGTTCACGTTAGGGAGGTAACAAGAAATTCACTGAATCTGAAGATAGATGATAGAATTTTTTTACCTGTGAAAAAGGAGGGATACATTTCTTTTAGAGTTAACAGAGCCTTGGGGTCCTGGGTGTGTGATAATATGTGGGGCCTGTTCATAGTTTCATTGTCATTTGACACTCAGAGCAGAGGAGAAAGACATTGCTGCAGAAAAAGTAATATTTGAGGAAACATGGCTGCTCCCTGCCCCAACCTGATGGAAGACACACATTAACATATTCGAGAGGTGAATTAGGCAGGATTCTGTGGAGGATGAGACCCTTAGGATGCACATATTATGAAGGGCTGGGTAGCCCAACCATGGTTTTCTATTTGCTGGAGAGGCAGAGAACCTAGTAGCTACTCTACCTACAAAGCTGGCTGGAACATGAGCGGGCCAGCTTGCTTGTTGTTGTTGGTTTTTTTTTTTTTTTTTTTTTTTTTGAGGCAGGGTTTCTCCGCAGCTTTTGGTTCCTGTCCTGGAACTAGCTCTTGTAGACCAGGCTGGCCTCGAACTCACAGAGATCTGCCTGCCTCTGCCTCCCGAGTGCTGGGATTAAAGGCGTGTGCCACCACCTCCCGGCTTGTTGGGGTTTTTGTCCTGCCCATACCCCCAGCTGTTTAGTCCCAGAGAAAAATCACACAAAGATCTCTGTAAGTTATAAAGCTGATTGGCCCATTAGCTCTAGCCTCTCACTGGCTAACTCTCACATCTTGATTAACCCATATTTCTTATTTATGTTAGCCATGTGGCTCTGTACCTTTTTTCAGTGGGGCAGCTCACATCCTGCAGCTTCAGTGGTCTGGGCAGGAGTGGGAGGAATCAACTTCCTCCTTCCCAGGATTCTCCTATTCTCATTACATCTTTCTACTTTTTTCCTGGTCTGGTTTTCCTGCCTATATTTATCAGCGTTTATTTATAACATGACTGACAGAATACAGACAATTCTCCCACACCAGCTGGCTGCCTCTGGAGCTCCAGTCTGGTGTTGAAGGCCTGGGGGATTTCTAGGGAAT